CGTGAGTGATAGATAGCAATGGCAGTACTCAACCTCTACGCAACACGAATTGGAATTGTTTCCTCATACTTCGACACACTCGAAGCTGTAACAAATTCAAAAGATGGTCGGACCATGCAATCAAATTTTTGTTTTATCTCAGCCGAGACAACGACAAGCCGCATACCCAAACTACGGAATTTCACTCACCTTCTTGCACTGAACAAGCTTCAATAATGATATCGGAACTTGGACCTAAATGGATGGGCAATGGCACCAATAGGAACAACAAAATGGAGATGTTAGGAAGGAAAAACATAAGTGACATACCAAGGACATACACATAACGAAAAACAGCTACGAAAGTCTCTCTCTCTCTCTTTCTCTCTCTCTCTCACACACACACACACACACACACACACACGCACATACATACACGCACACACCTACACACACACACACACACACACATATATGCTCATTAACATATGCTTACCATAGATTTTAAACGTACACCTGGACCCTTCCCTTCAAGAGTATATATCACTCCAAGGTAAGCCCTGACTCAGTCCCCCGCATATATCAAAACCTTCAGCCGAATTTGGATCCAAACATAAATTCATGCACAGTCCCTTACTGACATCAACATCCGCATGTTGAATCCTCGTCTGCATCCTATTATAAGTCCAATGTTATGTTAAATTAACGATATCATCAACCATAACTCGTAACCCCATGCTAAGGGAGGAAGAGGCTATGCTGAAGATGGCATCTAAGTTCATATAGACAATTTTGGTTCCAGATCAAAATCCGCATTCGGATCCTGATTGAGATGAACATCCTTACGTACATCCTCATTGAGGTCCAATGCTCTGTATTATTGCAAATATCATAAAAATTAAAAAAAGACTCGTAATGCCAGGTTGAGGGTCGATGAGGCTATGCTAAAGATAACACCAGCGTCTTCATATAGTAGACCCTGTCCTATCTTGATGATACAACCAAAATGTAGATGGTAACTAAAAAAAAGAAAAAAAACAAATGTATTTGCAGACATACACACAAGATAGACACCAAGACTAAAACCCTCACCCAGACCAAGCCCAAGAACCTTACCTAATCGAAGGGCAATGGCACCACAATCATACAAGCAGACAAAGATGGCAAGGGATAATTGTATATCTTCGTCTCTACGTCTGTTTGTGTCTTTCTCTATCTCTATCTCTATCTCTGTCTCAGTCTCTTTGTCTCTCTCTCTCTCTCTCTCTCTCTCTCTCTCTCTCTCTCTCTCTCTCTCTC